GTGTGTGTGTGTGTGTGTATGAACGTATGTATGTAGAATATACGTATGTCGGTATGTTTTATGCATATATATATATATATATATGAGTATGTATATGTATATGTATAAAATGTACAATGTATAAATATATATAGGCCATATATACATATTCATATATATATATATTTGTGTTATATATATATATATATATATATATATTTATTATATGATTATATTTATGTATAAGTATATGTATGTGTATGTATATGTACCTATATATGTATATATATATTTATATATAGACATGTGTTCAATACTTATATATATATATCCGGGCTTAACTGGTGAAAACCGTCAGCATATGTAGAGTCATTCTGTTGCTGCAATACGTTGTAAACAAGCTCATAACGAACATGTGGTTCTTAATTTAGTATTGCACCATAAGTTATATGACATAATATTTTAAGTTCTGTCTAATTTTGTCAAATGGATTTGTTTTTAGCGTAGTACGTCATTACTACGTAGTGAAACGCAGTAGTTCTGTTATTGTATTCAATGCGGTGTACTACACATTTCGGTGCATCTATCCGAACGGTTATCCGATGCCAACCCTCCACCTCGACAGCAACGCATGCATGTATCGTAACCTGACATGGCTCTTTCTTCCTCTTAGGTAGAGGTCGCTATAACCGGGCCATTGGGGCTTCTGGGGTTCGGAGTGGCAACGATGTTTAAGAGTTTTGTCTGGGCTGGTATCGCTGAGGAGAACACCTTCATGCTTGCGGCTGTTTTGGGAATAGTTTACGGCGGGTTAACGCAGCTGCTAGCCGGTCTGTGGGAGGTGTGTGTACAGTGACTGTAGCAAGCTTAACGTTATGGGTTGTTGGGGTCAATGTTCATAGCGGTCTTGACACTTTAAACTTATAGTAAGGTCAATAGTTAGTGGTTTCATGCCCTACCCCCTTCCCCCCCCTCTCCTTGGTTATGTAGTTGCTAAGGTTTCGATACCCTGCACCCAGCCGAACGAGAACCGGTGGCTATCATACCCCTCGTCGTCGTTTACACTTGGGCTGTCCCAGCTAATTCCAATCTCTACCACAATCACTCACGGCAGCTTTACCGAGGGAACACCTTCGTTGCAACAGCGTGTGTCAACTACGGCGTCTTCTGGCTGGGGATTGGCTTGTTCGATATTCTGCAGTGTAAGTGCCGGCATCTTATCCTTCAGTCCAAACTCTTGAGAAAAGGCTGTGATATAGTCCTCAATACCATGTGTGCATGAATTGTCCCGTGCGTGCCTGTCAGCGCCTCGAGTGCGCAACTAGCAATCAAACTAGGTTTAACTCGCTATCAAACTAGGTTAACTCTAGTACGAAAAGGCATGAGCGGAGCCCTACTGTACAGCGCCCATCATTATCGTACCACGATATATGTGAGGTTGCTCTGGTATCATGATTTGCTCTGAGGAATTTTTGTTGCTCCATCACTATAATTGCGAACGAGTTCATACCATATGTGCTCATCCTGATGCGCCACTCGAATCTAATGTATATTCAGTACATACACGCCTCACAGTGGGCTCTGGTAGTTGCCGTCGTAGCCGTAGAGTGCACTGTGCGAGTAGTTTGGAGTGATGTAAATGTGCAATCACATATGTTCGTATCTTCTACCCGCATTCCAATCAGCCTGCGCACACCTACATTACCTGCACTATTATACTATCCATCACACTTAGGATTGTCCTACCCTCTCATCTGGCTCTTCTGCATCCGTCCTCTCTCTGTGCGCAGTCACTGGCAGTGTAACTGTAGATGAAATGCCCTGGGGCTACTTCCTGTGGTCCATGATATGGATGGTACACACGCTGATGCTGTTGGCGTGTTTGCGCTATACCTATCGCATGCTGCAGCTCACCTACATTCTCTCTGCGACCCTTTTTTTGGTCCTTGCTCTGGCCAACTTTTATCCGCTCCTCTGGACCATCGGCGGCTATATTGGCATCGCACTCGGTGCCTCGGCATGGGTATGTATTGAACGCCTACGAGTTATATGTGTGACTGTATACCTACGCGTGTACTGTTTTTTCAATGTTTTTCTGGAGTGTGTGGTTTTGTTTGAAGCGTCTGTCTCGTCATCCATGGAGCTAATAAGTTCTGCTATAGCCATGCACTAGGGAGTCTCGCAATGCGCACACACTGGTAGCGGGAACATTCATTTACAGCCGAGTGTGTTGGTTGTATGTGGCGTTGTGATTTATAGATATATTTATTTGTCGATTGAAGCATTGGCAAGAGACGAGCAGTGTTTTTGGTGAGTGGACATAGGGAAGCCCGTTTCAGGACAGTGTCAGTGAGTGGTATATCAAGCCACTCAGTTGGGAACCGGAAAACGGTACTATATTTAGAATATATACCTATCAAATATAATTCAGATACAATCCAGTTATAATTCAAATATATTTCAGGTAAAATGCAGGTATGGTCCAGATTTATTTCAGATATAATTCAGACATAATTCCGATACAATCAGACACAATCCAGGTATGGTTCAGATACAATTCAGATATGATCCAGATACAATTCTGATATATTTCGGACATATTTTAGGTGTATTTTAGATACAAGTCAGATATATTTCAGATACAATCCAGGTATAATTCAGACACAATCCAGGTATAATTCAGATATAATTCAGATATCATTCAGTTATAACTCAGAGATAATTTATATGCAATCCAATTGTAATCCAGATATCATTCAGATGTAATATAAATATAATTCAGTTATAATTTAGATACAATCCAGGTATAATTCAGATATATGCACGTATCAGGTGCTGGCCATGCTTGAAATTAATTGGCCAATATACTTCTACAATGCAATATCACCTGGTGTGCTACTGCTACTATAAGTCATCATTATGATCCAGCCCACCGGATGTTGACCATCCCTGTACGCGTGATTCTAACAACGCTAAGTTAAATATGTGTAAATTAATTGGCAGAGAGTAATAATTTTGCGTTGATGCAACTTAACCAAACCAAACACTCACCTGTTATGTACCCCGCACACTTTCTTCTATAGTATAGTGGATGGGCCGAAATTATGAACTCGATCTACGGGCGAGAAGTAGTGCCCATCTGGCCTTGCCCTAAACCGCCGACGAAAGAGCGTTTATTATAGTACCGCTGGGATACATGAATATAGTAGAATTATTGGGGGATTTAAAGGGCCCACTCATGGTATGGTGGTGTACTTTTTGATATAATAGAAGACGTAGAGGGGCAGCATCAGACCCGATAAATCCATCAGGTGAAGTTTACGCGCTCACTGACACAATCACTGAATAAATATTAGACAAGTCCATCCAGTTTTTTACCTTGGCGCTTTATAGCGTCTGTATGCGTTCACAACAACATCCCTGAGGTATTCTCAGGGTGGCTACGGGCCATTGCGGGATGGTAGGGTTGTAAGGTTTTAGGAGGGTGATGTAGGTAGATTTTAAAATGACTTACAGTCTCGCTTTTCAATTCCTCATGCTCTGCAATCCTGGGTGCCCTAGTCAGTGGTGTGGACTCGGTGTTTACATACCGTTTCTCGCAAATGTCTTGTGTACCTTATAGAGCCTACTACTTTTATTCGCAAGCGTTGGTTCGATACCAACTGGGTTTGAAATGTCTAAATTAGGAAACGTTTTATTATCATATACTAATGCATTGTATTAGATGACTGTGAATTGAATGCCATAAATAGGGTGTGCGCCTGGACAGCCACACAGGCGACCCATTCCTTGCAGACGTATTATTATAAGCTCGCCAACAGGCCGGAAAGTCCAACGCAGTACAATTCTGTGTGTAGTAGACACACCCCCCCTCCAAGTACCAGACTAACCTAGCTAATGCAACACCCTGTCACACAATTATGGGCCTCTGTCCCTTCGTGTGCTGCTGCTGTGTTGTGACTGACTGTGCGCAGAGAGCGATGAACGGTCGAACGTTCTCACACAAAGACATTCGTAAGGATAGTTCATGAACCTGTCACCTTTTAATTAATTGTAGACGGCTACATATGGACATCTGACGGATGTTGATCCGTGCGATAGAGACGTAGATGATCAATCTTCAGCACGCACTCCCGTGTGTATTCGAATTAGACTTGTACCTTATTTCTAGATAGTACAAACAGTTCTATATATGGATTCTATATATAGATAGGTATCCTCACAGAGGCCGCCAACGCGCCTCGAGCTGGTTGATGAAGTAGTCTGGATCCAGTATGGCTTGCATTGAGTCCACCTGCACCAGATACTTCAGAGCGTCTTTGATGGGGATATGACTACCATCTACTAGGTGGTGAGAGAAGGGAGGAAGAATGATACTTGAATTTAGTTTGTAACCCGAGGGATCTGGAACGAGTCTTTCGCAAGTTATACAGGGGCAAGTGAATGTCGGTTAACTGAGGAAAGGTGTGGAGGTTCAATGCAAAGTGATCACGGTCCAGATAGAGGTACAAACAGTTAGTATATTCAGCTGCGATTGGGGAATATCCATGTATGTTGGTGTCTTCATCTGTTGATGTCACATATACGATAGGCGCTTAAAAGTCAAACACATGTTGCCCACAAATATATATATATATATATATGTGTGTGTGTATTTGTTTACATATAT